AAATGGCAGCGTTACCCCCATTATATTTCAAACAAGGAATCCATTCTAGGCAGAGACACGGGAACAAGTTCAGGAGTTCAGCTTGTTATCTACACCTCGGCTTCCTTCTCTTCTAGCCACCGAGGGAGTTTTCACCAAGTCTGAAGGGCAGCGGGGGCACAAGGGGCACCTGTGCCGAGCCAGGAGCTGCTGGTGGTTCCCCCTCGAGGCTGCACTCATCTGAATGGAAAAAAACACAGTGTTTCAAGCGTTATCAATTCTCAAGCGTTATCAGTTTCCATCTCTCACAAAACAGACACCCATTAAATCCTGCTTGAATATTTTTTCTAATTAATGCTGTCCTAAAAAACACAACTAAAGAAACCACTACCAGCGGAGTGAAGTGCATCCTCTGGAAGGCAAAACATTTCTCTTGAGGCGAAGCAAGGGCCTGAGCCTGTTAAACTGCTGAGACTCTGAGGCTGGAGAACTCCGCAGATGACTCACATCTTTACTTTTTTTTTTTTTTCTTCCCCTCCTCTCTTTTTTAAGGAGGCCAGAGATACCTGTTCTTAAGCAAGAGAAGAGCGACTTCCTGGACAATGCGCCACATACCCAGTTTGCCGCCTATAAAAAGCCGCCTTTCACACAAGCTCCGAGCGCGCACCGGGGACTTGCCCCTCGCTGTGAGCACCACGGGGCTCTGACTCACCCGCATCACCCCTTCGGAACTGACGGCAGGGCTAAAATTACCCTGCTCTTCGAGGCGCTCCACATTTTGAAAGTGAGAAGGATGGTGGTGCTCAAGTCATCCACCTCGGCCTGAAGTCCTGAAAGCATCAGCTTGGACGTAATTCTGAAACTTAGAGACTTGAGCAGCGTCAGTGCCGGAGTCGTGCTTAGGACCTCAGAAGAGGAACAGAGTTAGTAAGCGGAGATGCCACTAACTCACCAACAGCCCTTGAAAGCTGACACTTCCCCCACAAGGTGAGGGGAAAGCTATTTTTTCCAGAAAGCACCAAAGCCGAAGTGATTTCAGAATCCACATCCTGAGCCCTTCAGGCTGGACAGATATTAGAAACAAATCCAAGATAAAAAGCACAACCGTGCGTTAGTGGGAAGCCTGAGTCACGGTGCCCACACCACGGCTGCTTCCATGCTCCAGAGCGAGTTCTCCACTCCCGGCAGTCGTTTCTCCCATTCCCAGTGACAAGGGAAATAACGCTCAGGTCCATCAGTGAAGCGACCGGCCATCACAGATGTTGTGGCCAGCTGTTTTGATGATGCAACTGACTTTTTTAAACTGATGATGATCCTTTGGGAGGACTATCGTCTTAGCAGGGTTGATTTCCAATTAGGGATGGCAGGCACATTTTTTCCGAACCCTGGCCATGAGGACGGCAGCCCTGTGACTGGGAAAAGCGCCCCGCTGAAGCGTGAGTCACGGCGCGGCTCGGGAAGGGTGCTCTCAGGAGTCACGCTAACTGCTGCTGTAACAGAGCTCTGATTTAAAACGATAAGCACTGACATTCTGAAAAATGACTAACTACTACAATGAAAGAGACATGAGTTTACTCTTCTAGAGCCTTGCCTCCAAACTCCAAGGAGTTTAATTAAGTCAGAGTACGTTCATTTACACAGCCACACCCTTAACTGACATGCAGGTAGACAGAGCCCAGCCTCAATACCCAGGAAGAAGAGGATTGCAGCTGTGGCGGGCCCACCGTCCCTGCACCCAGCTACTCCCACCTGCCTGAATAATGTTTCCTGGCGATTCCCAAAAGCTTTGCAACAAGGAGACAGTTCCGAGCTGCTGACGCCTGGCCTCACACCTGCAGCTGCGGGTGCTGGGAGCCAACTCAAAACCTCCACCATCCCCACCGCCAGCAAAGCCCCTGCCGAGCAGCCTGACAGCCCAGGACAGGCTGGGGTCCGTGGGGGGCTCCAGAGCCATCACTGGCCCTCCACTGGCCTGCAGGACCGCAGCTGCTGCAGCAACGGCGGTGGCTGCATGCACCCCAGCCTGCGGCTCGGGTCTCGGCCCCCCCACATGTTCCCCACTGCACCTGCCCAAGTCCTTTCACCAGCTCGCTCGTGTCCTATTCAGGCACCAAAGACGTCCCAGCTTCACATCTGTCACTCCACAAGCACACCTATTCACTCATCGACCCTTTTGGCCATTGCTGCATTTTCTACACTGGCCTAATATCTTCCCTTTCCGACCAAGTAATTTCTTTCATGAAACATGGCACTGTCCTGCTCAGCGACAGTCCCACTGTGCCCTCTCACCTTCCCCAGTTACAGGGGCTGGCACAGAGGCAGTATAAATTTGACACTAAAGTTTGCTAAAGATTGTTAACTGCGAGTGGGAGTATTAAAGAAGTATCATCCTTTCCACTTATAAAAATAGTCGCTAATCTAAGTCTCAAAGGAATTACAGACAGGCTTTCAAAACTGTGAAATACAGAACAGAGACCTCTTTATGTCGGCAGAATGCTCTACTCCAGCACCATATTGCCCCTTTCTGTTTCTCTCATAATTAAATATAAGTAACATACCAGGAGAGCTCCGCTGTATAATTGCTTTATTTTCTGCTTATTAGTTCTTTACCAACACTACAGCCATATTGAGAACACAAAATTCCTGTTTACTTTAGTCAGGGAGATCACAGTCTACAAACTCATTCACTTATCAGACACGATTAACGCCATTCAAAACTTACTCCATAAATTCACATGAACACAAATTGATGCACTTAAACTCCAGATTAGTTTTTAAATCATAGGATTTCTTACAGATTGCCACTTTATCCTACAGGCTACTTTTACTGCCTGATAGCCACTAGTTCGTGGTGAGGTTCAGCTACAACCTATAAAGGACATGTTGAAAGTGAAACCTTTATATTTTGTTCAGTAGCAATGGCCATTTATTTTTTAAGTCTCTGCCACATGTTTCAGTAACTTTTTCTCCCCCCAAAAAAAGACATTAAAAAAATTCAGAAGCATAATCAGTTTCCTTTCACCTACAAAAACAGAATAACAAAGTTACTAAGGAAATACAAAATTGTGAATTCAACTTAATGCAAAGTCTAGCAAAGAAGTCTGCCCCAGCACTTAAGAGAAAACATAGTAAATCAACTTAGACAAAAAATGAAGTTATTGAAGTTTTCATGTTGACTGAGAATAGATTTAAGAAAGTTCAAGAACCATTAATAGAGCTTCAAGTTTTCCAGTTTAGGCATTTACTTTGTGCTTGGCTATTTTATTTATGCTCCAGAAGAAAACAGTAACCATATTCTTGTATTTTCAGTCTTTATACCACCACACTACCTGTTAAGTTACATCAACAGAGAAAAAAAAAAAAAAAAAAAAAAAGCTAGAAAATAGAGCAATGATCTTTGGATGGCAAAAAGCCTTGAGTGAAAAAAAAAAAAAAAAATCATCTCACCTCCTCTTCTTTAGAGCTGAGATTTAAGAGTTATTCCACATTAAGCTTCTGCAGACTCTCTTTAACTTAGGAAGGCTTCTAGTCAATCAATGCTCTATCTTCTAGCATCAAGAATCCATTCAGTCCCATTTGCAACCTACATTGAGATGTCTTTTGGAACCATATATCTAAAGGAACTTTTAAGTGGTCCAAAGCATTCAATTTCAGAAGTGAATTCAGTATTTTTATCTTTCCATACATCTTTGGTAAGAGCTCCATATACAATGTACTTAGCATGCAGAGTCAACACTGCAGAAATGTAGTGTAATGCCCCCAATTTAATGTAAAACTTATATCCTTGGAAAAAATAATAATAATAAAAAAAAAAGCCATTTTCTTCTGGTTTTGTAGCATACATTCCTAGAATTCCCCAATCGAGTTTAACTCCTTGAGGAAATCTGAAGTTAATCCTTAAGGCTGAATAAGAACCAGCTGCTTTAACATTTTTTGCACCCAGTATTAATACTTGATTGAGTTTTTATACTAATACTCCTTCTGGGTGGTTTTTTTTTTTTTTTTTGCCAGTCACATCTGCAAACTGTGATATGGCAAATGAGCTGCTTGCCCTTTAAGAACTAATTATGGAAGTTTACATTCATAGTCGTATACTCTCTCTCTCTCTCTCTCTCTCTCTCTCTCCTCCCCGCTCTCATTAGTAGTTACTCAATGGGCTTCAGACATCCAACATAGTTCCCTTCCTACAGGACTACAGCAACAACCGGCTACTGAGAGAGATGGCGAAGACTGCTACTACTTGCATGAGTTCAGTCAAGTCTTGGAAAACTAAAAGCAATGAGTTATTTCCTCAAAATGGCTATTACTCAGATGTCAGAATTACCGAGCTCAACTAAAGGTTAGCACAGAACTTGCCCCTTCAGAAGTCTACAAAATGGAACAAAAAAAAAAATAAATTTCTTTCTCCGCTACATGCATGTCAGAAAGAATCAGAAATCCTTTTAAGATTTAGGTATCTGCAACTGCCTTGAGACGAAAGCAACTTGTCTCGATCGCAAGGCAGGCAAGTCGGTGCTAGATTTTTGCCTAAATATCTGTGATTGAAAGTAAAACTTGTTGCAAGGCTTACATGTTATTGCTGCATTTTCTGGAAGGAACCTATCTTGCATTGAATCAGAGACTGACATGAGTAGTAAAAACTGCAGCTAAACATCATTTAAGTTTGCAATGCAAGACAAAAACTGAACAGTATCTACCCTGGAACTATTACATCATTCCTGTCTTATTTGCTATATCGTTGCTATGTAGTATGGGGAACTCATTTGCATCCCTTCTCATGCATGATGTATGGTTCAGAACTTCACAGCTGACATTTCAAAGCAGTTCTTACATTACCTAGTTAACATTATGCCTGATATGCACTTTGAACATGTTACAATGGTATTCTCACTATCTGCCACTGTAGGCAAGAATTCGTTTCACTATTAGTCTGAGATATGAAGACAGACTGAGAGTCACTATTTAGTTACAGATTAACAGAACTTTAAAAAAAGTCCTTAATATAAAAAGACAGACTGCAGTTTGATTTTAAGCAATAGTTTTCAGTTTACTAGATGAAGTAGACCTATCAACATATTCTGCATGAATGCAAAAAAGTAGCAATCTACAGCAAGTGATAGAAGAAAAAAAAATATAATCAAAAAAGTAGAACCAGAAAGCATACACTGAAAATGGTACCCCTCCCCCAACCATCCCCCAAAATAATCAAACCATCATAAGGGCTATCAAGAGAGAAAAAAAAAAAAAGTTACTTAGCAAGTCTACAATGTGTCTTTCCCCTGTTTGCTGGAAGTCTGCCATAGCATCTAGTGCTTGTGTTCGTGTCACATTCGGAGATTAGAGCATCCTAACGCCAAGCAAGAAGAGTTAAAACAGGAATCCAGTCAAGTGTGCAGAAGGAAAGGGTGGTAACTGGAGAAAGGTGATCATAATCCTATGGATGCTTTTGTTTTACTTTTCAGTAGAGAATCATTCTTCCGGAAAACCATGTGGGTTATTTTTTTTTTCTTTAATTCTTTGTAGACTAAATAGTTATTCTCTCATTAGGATTTATAATTGGATGTTAACCATGTCAGCCCTTCATAGAGTCCATCCCCTGTAGTAGCACAGGAGGGCTGCACGTACCAATTCCTATCCCTGATTCGGGTCAGGCCCAGTTTCTCCTGGATTTCATGGGGTTTCATGGCATCAGGCAGGTCCTGCTTGTTGGCGAAGATGAGGATGATGGCGTCCCGCATCTCCCTGTCGTTGATGATGCGGTGGAGCTCCTGGCGGGCCTCGTCGATGCGGTCGCGATCGGCGCAGTCCACCACAAAGATCAACCCTTGCGTGCCCGTGTAGTAGTGCCTCCAGAGGGGACGGATCTTGTCCTGGCCCCCGACATCCCACACGTTGAACTTGACGTTTTTGTAAGTAACCGTCTCCACGTTGAAGCCCACGGTGGGGATGGTGGTGACAGACTGGCCCAGCTTCAGTTTGTACAGGATGGTGGTTTTACCAGCCGCGTCCAGACCCAGCATCAGGATCCGCATCTCCTTGTTGCCGAAGATCTTGGACAGCACCTTGCCCATCTCGGCGGCATCCAAGGGGCCCGGCGCCTCCGGGGTGAGGTGAGGGGGAGCGGAGGGCGAGCGGCCCGCGCGGGGCGGGGGC